CAAGATTTGGAAATATTTTAAAATCTGATAACTTTGGCCAATATGTTGTACCATATATCTAATTAATGCAAGATAAGGCATTAGTTGGATATATGGTACAACATATTGGGCAATTGTCATGTCATCAGATTTTAAATACTTCCACATTTATTTCTCTAGGAGTAAATACTTAAACACTTAAAAATGGGATAAGCACAAATAAATCATATTCAACAATTGGATATCTCTAAATTTGCACAAATAGCATTCTGCTTTCTTCACAAAAATGTTACCTTGCATTTATATAATTTTCACTAATGTAAGTTAAAGAATATATGTAAGAAATATAGATTAATGCTAGTATACAAAGCTTTTCAAATACATTAAAAAATGTTTATACAGTTAAATGTGAAATAAATATATATTTAAATGCATAATTTCTGCCATGTTATGCAATGAACTGTCCTGAGGATCTGAGATTTTTAATGGCTACTTATATCATTCATACATGACTTCTCAAATCTACTATTGCTAAATGATGCTAAATGTTCTATACTATATATTATAGTCTGTTCTGCATGCTACAGTGGTTTTCCAAGCATCAATATGTCTGTTGGGTATCAAAGGCGATTCTTATATGTGTCTCTTTGTGTATGTCTCATTTTATTTGTAATAGCAAAACTGTACCTTCGTTCCATCATTTTCTTGAACTCAAACCTTGCTAAGTATCCACGACACATAGCTTGGGTACGTGTAATTAATTGTGCCAGCTTATCATCTCTCATCTCCTCTAGAAGACCCAGAAGCCCAGCTTTGAAGAACACCTGGGGTATGGAAGAGAAAGTATAATAAATATATAATTGCCTCCATAAACAATGTTGCATTCAAACCAGAGGTGAGTTGCTCCCGGTTCAGCCCAGATCGGGCGAACTGGTAGTAGCGGCAACAGGAGGCTCCGCACACACACACGAGCGAACCGGTAGTAAAAAAAATGGCAGCCCACCATTGATTCAAACAGTCAAAAAGTCATCTTACCTTAGTGTGGCCAAATTTATACTGGGTATGGTCAACATCAATTGATCCAAGAAGTTTCTCAGAAGCCTTCTTGCTATCTATGAATTGTCCCTCTGGGATGGCACTTGCATTCAGAATTTTGTATCTATTAAAGAAAGCAGAAGCTAAAGTTGCCTAACATTGGAAGCCTTGATATTAAGAAGACATGTAGGGATGAAACTCATTTTGGTAAACATCCAAAGAAACATATATCAACATTTGGACTATCTCCCCTCTCTGCCCTATACACAAACATAACACAAGCAAATCCATAATATCTATGGGAAGACCAAAACTTGTATACAACATTGAAGCATGTACAAAAGAACATGACTTTTGCATTTTGACACATTTTCATTAACTTGCCAATTTTGCACACATACACGCCCAGCCCCTCAGGTGACATTGTTAATAACCTAAGATCTCTGAATAATGGTATCTATTACTAGGAAAGTTTAGGTCATACTCAAAAGTTCTACTAAGCATTCTGCTTTCAGTTCTGATGACAGCAGAACTGTATACAGTTTCTTCCTGGGTTTTCAGTTTAGAGAACTTGAAGTGTGTCTTTAATGAAGGGGAAATAAGTGTGCACCTGTTTGCTGTTTAATAACAGTCTTTCCAATCAGCATGAGAACAAACTCTCAGACCTACCAGCTTTGGCTACTTCCTTAAAGCAAAGAGATTGGTCAATGTGGTTGAATTTTCGAAAGGTTTATCAGTGTCAACTTGTCATCATGCTTCTAAATGCTTTTGTTAGTACAAAGTAGTTTATACTGTATCGATACGTTGAATTATTCAAGTATGTAAAAGTAAACATCTGAAACTCCTGAACCAAATTTGTAATTCTTCTTATCCACAATTCTATTCTATATAATGAAGAATTATGAATGGAAGTAATAAGATTTTGTTATTTTCTCCCCTAAATTCTTAATATAAATTATATGATTTTATTTAATTAATAAATAAAACAAACAAATAAATATAGTTGTACTCCTGACAACTATATGGACATAACCCTGAAGCTTTCCTGGCAACATTTGCTCAAATAGTTTGCCATTACCTTTTTAGAAATGAGAATTATTGGCCCAAACTCACCCAACTGGCTTCCATATCCAAGGTAGGGTCAGAAAACCTAAGTCTCTCTGCTCCCCACTAGACTATATGACACTATTTACATTCAATCATCCAAGTTTCCTGCCTAGGCAGGGGGTTGGACTAGAAGACCTCTGCTGTTGTATTGTATTATTGTAAATTACTAAAGTGTAAACTGCTGTAAGATGGAGACATTAAAAACATTTAGAATCCAAATGAGTCAGTAGCTGGAAATCAATCTGACCTCTGTTTGAAATCAGCATAAACAATCCTGCTGGGGAAGCCTTTCCTGCAAATTCGGATACCTTCAAGTACACCATTACATCTCAGTTGGTGCAATACAAGGTCATGTTCCATGGAACCTTAGAAAAACCACATGAAAAAAAAAGATGTTACAATATCTACCAAAGGTAGATTACATTTTTCATTTTAAAACCAAAGTTCTGTATCTTACCAGGAGTTTTAGTTTCATTGGGGATGAGGCAGCGCACAAAATGTGGATGAGTGCTCCTCAGATTGCTCATCAGCTTGTTTAAGTTTTCCTGTAGGATTTGAAAACAAAATTATTATTGTGTTTTTTTAAAAGTAAATTTATATACCCTGTTACCCCAAAAATAAGATCTCCCTGAATAATAGCCCCAATTGGGCTTTTGAGTGCATGCGCTAAAATAAGCCCTTCCCTGAAAATAATCCCTCCCAAAAATATTGCAACACACTAGCAGCCATGAGGTGACCACCTCCTGATCTCAAAAATAATAAGATCTGCCCAAAAATAAGGCCATGTGTTTATTTTTTGGGGGGGGAGGAGTCTAAGAAAAATATGACCCTATCTTATTTTTGGGAAAACATGGTATTAAGAAAAAAACTAAAGAGTGAGCTCCACAATTTGCCATAGGTAGCCAGAAAAAAACAATATGGTGAACTTTCCCCACATTCTCACAAACAACCTTTTAACTTTTGCCCTATTCTGCATCAAATGACATTTATATTGATATCTTGGTTAAGGATAGTGCATGTTCTTTACCTTTTGAGAGCATGTTACAGATATTTTAATTAAATGCTCTTGTGATTAAAAAATGTTTAACAACTCAGCGGTTTTTTTTTAAAAAAACAGCAGAATTGTGTACTGTATTCACCCTTTATAATCTTGACTGTGATGTATTCTCTTAAGGACCATTGGTAGACTTCTATTGTTCCATAATATTGTGAACTAATATTTAATTGT